GGGATGGACTGGTTAAGCACAGGTTGCTGAGCCCCATGCTCAGAGTATCCCATTGAGTAGTACTGGGATGGCAGGGAAATGATGAGAAATATTTTGCATTTCTCATCATATCCCAGAGGATGTTGCTTCTAGTCTGGGGATCACATGCTGGAAAGCTCAGAAAGCTCTTCATCTTCATTGCCTATTAAAACCCACATCCCTTACCCTGTGGGCTTCTTGGGAGTATTTATTGTCGCTCTCCTTCATGTGTTACATAGGCCTTTCCCACGGAGCCTCCCAGTGGGCCTTGCTACATGTACAAGCCACTTTTCTGCTTTCCTGTTGTTTTGTGTGTTACCACCATTCCTTGGTCTGCTCACTATTTGTCCATGTCTCAGATCTTTGAAAAACACCTGCTCCATTGTTAGAAGCCAGCTTGTGTATCGTTTTCCTCACTTTTTTTTTAGGTTTCAGAAATTTATTAAAATTGTTGATTTAAGCCCAGAGTGTCCCTCCAGCTGCCTTTCAAAGGGTGAGCTGCATGCTGTGCTGCCATAGAAGCCCTTGCAGTTTTCAGGATAGCAATGTATCTACCTGCATTTCTCCAACTGTGAATTGTATGTAGTCCAAGCTGGACTTGAACTCATGGTCTTTCTGCTTCTGCATCCCAAGTAGATGGGACTGTGGGTATATTCCACCACAACCAAGTTCAATCTTGAATTCCTAAGCCTTTGCTTAAAACTTGCACTGTGCATCATTGTCAAGCTGACTCTTCATACCTGCAGATAATTACTTTAATTTAGCAATGAGTAGTTAAAATATTTCAAAAAAATGATTCTCTTTCTGTGGGTGACTTTTATCTTCTCTTAGCTTTACTTCTAAGTGATGTGCCTACGTGTATAAATAGACACAACTATTTCCTAGGTGTACAGAGTCTCCAGTGCTGATATATCCATCCAGGTGGAGGGACAGAATAATGTTCTTTACTTCTCTCTGCCCCTTTACTTCTTACTCCTCATGGAAATGAGGGGTGACTGGAGTGACTAGTAAGTTAGAAGGGTTAGGCATGGACTGAGAAACTAAGATATAGTCTGTCCCACTTTGTGGTCTGCCTGCTTGAAGGATGTACATGAAGAATGTACCCTAACACCTTGCCCCCCCCATTATCTTTGACTTCTATCCCTCCACTCTAGCAATACTGGCCTTTCTAGTTCTTAAATCCATGAAAACACACCCTTGTCTCAAGGTCATTGTACTGCTTAGAACTCCTTGTATTCCTTGGTGTCCATCTGGCTCATTCTCCAGATGAGCCATCCTGAGTTCCTACTGGTCTAACTTAGATGTCACCCTCTAAGTGAGGTATTCTCTGACTTCTAGATAAAATTGCAATCTCTCCAGTATACATATAGGACAATTTCCATTTTAAAAATCAGCTAACAAAAAATGTTGCCACTTCCAAGACTTAACTTCCTTACTAACTTTTGAATAACTCTATTTGGAATCATTACTTTCCTGAGGGATCCAAATGGCTGAGGATTTAAAGAAGATTATAGTGTTGAAGTAGGATATTTCTAATACTCTATTCTTATGAAGACTTGTAAGATTAGATTAACAAATCCTCAGCTTGTGGTATGCTCATTTATGCCTTATTTTAAAAACATTCTACTGTCAAGATTGAGAAGACGAGTTCACCAGAAAAAATGCTAACACTTTGCTGGCAATATTGCTTGTTTTTGCATTCATTCATCCAATTTTTTTTAAAAAAGCTCTTAAATTATTTTAGTTGCTTATGGCATACAGTGTGATAATTAGGTATTTTCACACAATGTGTAGTAATCAAATCAGAGTAGTTAACATTTCCATCTCCTGGAACACTTAAAAAATTTTCTAGATTAACATGCAATAATTGTACATATTTACAAGGTACAATACAATAGCCTGCAATAATCTATATTTTATTAGTAACTGGAAGAAAGGAGCTCAAAGGCTTCAAGCTCAAAGTAGTGGTAAGATGGAACTATTACCCTGATTTGCTCAGAACACTTTGTAAATATGTACTAGAATGTCACACTGTACCTCATAAATATGTCCAGTAAACATCTTAATTCTGACAAAGTCTCCAAGAAATTCCCGTTTAACTTGCTTTCTTTTCTCACTCCCCACATCTAAAAAATTAAGCTATTCACCTCATGGTCCTTGTACTAAAAACAGGGACAGTGGATGAATACATTTACTGTTATAATGGCAAGAAAAGGAAGTGTGAGAGGAAGGGATGAAGGAAAGAAAAGAATTAGATGTTAGGTCTGTATCAGGGACTGTCATTACCAGAGGCACTTAGAATAGCAAAGGCAGAATTCCATATGCAGAAAACAATTTCTGGCCACAGAGTTGCCTTCGGTTCAGTTTCTGCTCAGAGCAGGTAGAAAGTGGAGCTTAACATCCACTTACTTTTTCAGATCGGTGTCTTGAGTGGTCCTCTAGCTACACTGAACCTTCATGGCCCACCAAACACAAGGGGAGTTCGTAATTCCTTCCCTGCACTGGGGTGTAAGAAAGCAGTGTGGATATTTCAGATCCCAGGACTCATGGACCATAGCAACAGCAAGTTACAGTGTGAATCAGCAGGACAAGTTGTCTTTTTGGAGCATCTCTTGAGTCTTTCTTGGGAAACTCCTCTCCCCAGGGCTGGCTTGAAATGTTTCACAGACTTCTTATCCAATCATTGCAAACACTGTTAATTGCTTCTTGTCTTTCAGTATCCACAAAATGCATGTCCTTCTTTCAGGCCCTGCTAGAGTTAGTATTTCACTCCCTGGAATGTCAGGTCAGAGGAAGTGCTTGAAAATAGGAAATAGTTGAAGTTCTAGCCTGCCCCAAACCATTCAGATTGACTATTCTACCTCAAAGGGCACAGGGTCTTTGGATATCAGCTCAAGTGATTCCACAGTCAAGATGAGACAGTATTTGATGGACATGGTAATGGAGGCACTCTTACCTCCCCCAACTGTTGAAGCTTCTCTGTCTCTCTCTCTCTGTTCTTTCTCTTCTACACAACACACACACACACACACACACACACACACACACACACAAGTAACTGTAGAAAGTGACTGCTATGGTATGAGTATGTCCTCAAAGGTTCATGTGCTGAAAGCTCTTCCTCAATATGTTGGTGTTGAGGAGGTGGGGCATAATGAAAGGTAAGTAGGTCATTAAAAGAGATTAATGTAGTTCTTGTGGGACCCCAGGTAGTTCCTATGAGAGTGAGTTGCTATAAAAGGAGTGAGCCAGGCACCTGGATCTCTCTGGTTTCCTATCTTACCATGTGATCTCTTTTCCTTCTGCACATGGCTATTTGCATTTTTGCTTCTGTACCATGTTGTGTTACAACCAATGGTTCCTTTATCAGAGGCCAAACAGATGGGTCCTCCCAATCTTGAACTTTCAGCTTTCAGAACTGTGAGCTAAATAAACCTCTTTTTTGTTTATAAACAATCCAACTCCAGTTATTTTGTTACAGAAACAAAAATGGACTAATACAGTGTGGATATGTAAATTTGTTTATAGTACTCATTTCCCTCGTGTAGATATAGCAAGACATCGTGTTGTGCATCTCAAATACATATAATGGAAAATAAATTGAAAAGCTTTTGGACAGATTCTCCATGTCTGGAAGATTATTAATTACAACATATTTTCCTCCTTTCCCCAAACAAACAGCCCCTTTCCTAGAATTAGCAGAGTGTATGAGTAGACGGAGTCATAAAAGTATTTTGAGGAATCTGAATTCCTCAAAAAGATAGAACATCCATATGATCCAGTGATACTGCTCTTGGGTGTCACTAAGAACGTTAAGTCAGCATAAAATAGAGACACCTGAACACTGATGTTCAATTTCATCACTATTCACAAAATAGCCAAGCTTTGGAAACAACCCAGGTGCCCTACAACTGATGAATGGATCATGAAAATGTGGTATATATACACAATGGAGTATTACCCATAAGAAGTAATGACATGTGGTTTGAAGGTAAATGGATGTAACTGGAGGACATCATGCTAAGTAAAGTAAGCCAGGCTCAGAAACACAAAGACCACGTTTTTCTCTCATACATGGAGGATAGATCCAAAAGATAAACATATGCACAAAAACAAGCATGATCATATACAAACTCAGATGTAGAACATGTTTGTAACAGTGAAACTATTCTATGGAACTCGGGGAAAGAGGGAAAGGAAAAGAGAGTGACAGAGCATCTGTAATATCATAAAACGAGATCTGTGAAGGCAGAAGATATAAGGATATGTATTGAAGGCTCTTGAAAAATGGGGGATGGGAGGTAAAGGGGTAAGAGAGAATAATGGAAGGGGTTGAATGGACCAAAGTAAAGTACACCCATAGTGGGCATACATTAAGAAATCCCTTTGAACATCAACTTAAATATTAATTATGAAAGATAGGTCTGTAAAATTGGTACAGTGTGTATATGGTGGTACTAGTGGGAGGGGGAGGGTGAATGAAGGAAATTAAGGTGAGGGAATATGATTGATGGACTTCATAGACTTATATGGGATAGAACTAAGAAACCTCTTGCAATTGCTTTAAGTGGGGTGGGAAGGGATTGAGGGGGTGAGACATGGGGGGCTATGTAACTAATGTACAATGTAAGTCTAATAGGAAATGTCACCATGAATCCCCCTCCCAAAATGAATATATCCTAATAAAATAAAAAAGTGTTGTCAGTATCAATGAGTATATTTCATATATCCTCATAAACTGTGCTGATATTTTTCAAGATCTTCATAGTCACTTCCGAGTAATATGCTTGGTAACCAGGAAGGGAGCATAGGAAGCAAGATGGAGAAGGTGGGAGGGCGGAAGAAAAGCATGGTCTTCCTGCAGGGTGCAGTAATTTCTCCTTATTACTGTGGGAGTTAGAGACCGACTTAAAACCCCCATTCTGTTATGCTTCCTCTTATCCTGTGAGAAGAAAATACAACAGAATTTGCCAACAGCCAGCTGAAAATATTCCAGGTGCATAAATTTATTTTAAATTTTATTGCATTGCATTATACAAGCATTAAACATGGCTTCATGTGGATGACTATTTAAATGTGAAAATTAGTCATTCGTGTTGGTACTTTTTTGGCTATGTACAAGTAAGGAATTTCTATGTATTTTATATATCTCTGTATTTGTATGTACATATGTAGGAACACATGACTATACATATGTACACACAGAAATACATCTATGGCCATACACATAGCTATAGATATGTCATATATAATCATCTCCTCAGAAAGATCTGAATTTAAAAAAAAAAAAGAAAGAAAAAGTTGTAAACAGGGTCTTGTCTGTGTCATTTGGTGACATGGAACTAGGACCATATGATAACATTCTAGGAATGTGTGTCCAAATACCTTTTTAGCCCAGTGTCTGTAAAATTCACATGGGATCAAATGCAAAAAAGGTAGCAAACAGGCTGAAAAACAGGCCTGGTATACAAGTTCCCCTCGGTTTTAAAAACTTGAGAATGTAACTGCCATAATGTGCATGCTTGCTTGGTCAAGAATGGTCTATGGATTGATAGCAATTGTATGCTGGGCTGCGACGTGACTTCACAGCAGCGAGACTCCCCTGCCAGTCCTCTACTGGGTGCCGACCTGCCTGCGGCTGCCCGTGTCTGCGGCATGCTCTGTGGTCACACTGTTAGTCGTTCACTTCAATGTGCTTTTGCACAGCTGGGAGAAGTAAACAAAATTCAGGTACGTGGCCTGAAAATGAATGATTACCTAGAAAGTAGAAAGAAAGAAGGCATCAAGGTCTCATGCACACAGGCTGGCTTACCAAGAGGATTTGCAATGGTTTGTATTTACATGTGTCAACAGCATTTGAAAAATTTATAAACGCAAACCAAGTCAGGGACAGTATAACCATTATTACACCTGCTTTACAGATGAATGTACTGAGTCAGAAAGGCAGGATGAAGCCATGTGACCTCCTGCCAACTACTGTGAGAATAGAGACAGGCAGACAAATATGCTTTTGAGCAAAAAAATGGGAAGTGGGAAGAAAGAAGCCTGTCCTGGTAGAGGCCAGAAGGAAACCTGAATGATCAGTTAACTGGCCCTGCTGTCCACTGCAGCCCTAAGGTGTGGACACTATGCCTTGATCTCTGGCTGCTGAGCTCTCAGGAGCAGTTCTCTGCAGTACCGCTTACCTTCCATCTCACCCAAAGCCTTCTGGGTACAGTCAGCCTTTCTCCTCCAAAGAATGATCAGAATGGGTAGGAGTCAGAGGCCAGGGGGCTGGTGCAAATCACAGAACCTCAGAAGGTCAAAGTCAGAACATCTCCTAAAGTATTGTTTGCTCCAACTTCCTTACCTTTGCAAACCTGTGCTAGGTCACACAGACAGAGTGGAAAAGCCAGGCACAGAATCTGGCAGATGACAACACGACACTGGACAATAATACAAAGCCCAGATAGTCCTCTCCAGCCTTTTATTGCTTGGTAAATGGCTCCCACGCACAGCCTTATTTGAGCTGCGTACTAATTCTGTCCTGGAGGCAGGCTCACACAAGTCACATCACAAATAGCAGATCTGATGCCCCAGCACTGACGAATGGATTAAGAAAATGTGGTATCTATACACAATGGAATTTTATGCAGCCATGAAGAAGAACGAAATGTTATCATTCGCTGGTAAATGGATGGAATTGGAGAACATCATTCTGAGTGAGGTTAGCCTGGCTCAAAAGACCAAAAATCGTATGTTCTCCCTCATATGTGGACATTAGATCAAGGGCAAACACAACAAGGGGATTGGACTATGAGCACATGATAAAAGCGAGAGCACACAAGGGAGGGGTGAGGATAGGTAAGACACCTAAAAAACTAGCTAGCATTTGTTGCCCTTAATGCAGAGAAACTAAAGCAGATACCTTAAAGCAACTGAGGCCAATAGGAAAAGGGGACCAGGAACTAGAGAAAAGGTTAGATTAAAAAGAATTAACCTAGAAGGTAACACCCACGCACAGGAAATCAATGTGAGTCAATGCCCTGTATAGCTATCCTTATCTCAACCAGCAAAACCCCTTGTTCCTTCCTATTATTGCTTATACTCTCTCTACAGCAAAATTAGAGATAAGGGCAAAATAGTTTCTGCTGGGTATTGAGGGGGGGAGTGGGAGGGGGTGGAGTGGGTGGTAAGGGAGGGGGTGGGGACAGGGGGGAGAAATAAACCAAGCCTTGTATGCACATATGAATAAGAAAAAAAAAAGTATAACCATCAAACTGAACTATCAAAATCTTTTATTAAAAAAAAAAAAGACTTTGAAAAAAAACAAATAGCAGATCTGAGAAATGGTAAAATTACTAAGTAGGAAAACATCTTTTGTTTTTAATGAAGCCAGAGCTTACTTTGGACTTGAGTACAGGGCCAGTGCTCAAAACCTGTATGTCACTTTTATTCCTGTAGACTTTTTTTTTTGGGGGGGGGTGGGCTACTAGGGATGGAACCCACTGCCTCTTTCACTCTACCACTTATGCCATGCCCCCAGGCCCTTTTTGCTTGCATTTTGTTTTTGAGACAGGGTCTTGCTAACTTTGCCTAAGTTGGTCTCCAACTCTCTATCCTCCTGACTCTACCTCCCAAATAGCTGGGTCTAGCTTGTTTCCTCCCTCCCTATCCAACCCATAAACCTCCTGGACTAGTAACAGGGAGCTAGGTTGATACAACTTTACTAACTTAACAACAAACAGCTCTGCAAATATCTGCTACATATGAGTCTATAGGAAACATGAAAACCGTTCTTTTTCCCTATATATCTCATTTTTCCTTCAGAAACATTTTCAAAGTTAGTTGTTGACCACAGTAAAATAATTAAAGGGCAAAAAAGGCAAAAGAACTCTTGTAATAATATTAGACTCACAGAGTATCAGAGCACAGAGCTCATCTTAACATTTTATCACTGAGCAAACTGAGGCCCAGAGAAGTTTAGTGACTTGTCCAAGGTTAATAACTGACTTGCTATCAAAAGTTTCAGAATTTTTTTTCGGATAGGGTGTGTGGGGACATTGTTTTCTTAAAATCCATCCAATCTTTACTAATCAAATGTTCATTTAGTAGGTGCCATGTACAACTAACTAGCTAGTTGGAAAAAGAAGAATTGCAATCTGTAGAAAGTTCCCTAAAGATACTGAGGAAGCCTGATAAGTATTTGATGACTAACAATTAACAATACAAATCAGTCTATTTCAATGTGGTACTAAGGATAACAAGCAGAGAAGTTCAGAAAGAGTGAATCTCCATGGGCAGAGGAGTCAAGTGAACCTTAGAGGATATGGTGTGACAGGGAGCGAAGAATGAATGGGTGATGGAGGCCATGTGGGCTGAGATGAAAGACCAACTTCAAACAGAAGGAAGGGGTATGCTGTGGAGGGCACTGAAGAGAACAGCCTGGCTGGAGGTGAATGGAGAGGAAGGGATTATTTCACCTGGGCCACCTCATAAAGCCCTTGACTGCCAGGCCAGGGTCTGGCAGGCAGGCAGGGAAGAATGGTAGGTACGTGGGAAGGGAAGATCTCATTGCAATTATTGAAGAAACTGGTTTGGGAAGTTTCTAAGAACCTTGTTTGGATCCTTATTACTGGAACAGTGGTAAGCTTTGTTTCAGGGAGTTAAAAGCAGCTTCTCCAAGCCTGAGAGTGGCTTCTACCAGGAGCATACCTACCTGGTCATGGCCACTCGTTGTGGTGTGCTTTTCCATTTTTCTTCCTCTCCTTTCGTTCTTTCTGGAGGCGTTCCAGTTCTGCCTCATACATCATCTCCTGGATCAAATACTTCTCTCTTCTCATTCGATCCCTTAGATCTTTTGGGAGGTCTGGGATCAGATAGGAAATGAGGTGCTTTATACAAAATACGAGGTGCTAAAAACACAACAGAGGAGAATACAGCCAAGTTAGGTTTGTTGTCCATCCTTTGCTGTGACAAGCTTTGGGGACTGGCTCAAGAAGGACCTTTGTGGTGTGGAGGAAGTGTGATGAGGTTAGGGCTTGGGGGAGGCATGTATGTGTTGAAAGGACAGGAGATAGATGAGGACTGAGCATGGTTTGATGGCATCATCAAGGGAAGAGAGGAGGAATCAGGGGAGGAGGGAAACCAGGAGAATATAGGATCATGGGATCAGAAAACCCAGGTGCAAATCCCAGCTCAGTAGCTTTTACTGCTGAAGAGCTATCTGTCTACCCCAGGATGAGTCACTGAACTAACTTCTTGAGTCTCAATTCACTCATGTATAAAATAGGTATCATTGCAAAAATTATAAGAAAATGTTTAAAAATGCTTTGCACATGCCAAATGCTTTACAAAATCTTTTGTCTGAGTTATTTCAGGAAGAGATATCATGTGAATAAACTGGTATAAATTCCTTATGTGAAATACAAATAGTACGAATTCTACAATCATAGTCACTTCTGTTCATTGATATATCCTGGTAAGTCCTTATAATTCTAAAGTATTTAATAAAGATAAAATCATGTTTAATGATGGTGCTAAAGATCCTTCATTTTACTTAAAACTTGGCCACTTGGTGACACATAGATGGCCCACGATTCTGCAGATTCACAAATTATATATATATATATATATATATATATATTTCTAGTTTTTTAAAATAATAACAGCATATTGAACATATTGAAAGGAAGTAGAAAGTTCTATGTGAAAAGTCAAATAATAATTTAATGAAACCCCCTTTTTATTTTATCTGAAAAATTTTAAGACAGAGTTAAGAATATCTTTAAAGAGGGACTGAGCCATTGGTTAATTCCCAGGGAAAAACAGCTTAGTATTATCTTTTCTTAGTTCCCTGGAGTGAAGAAAAAAGCCAGTGATATAATAAACTCAGAAAGGTTTAAGAAACTTATCTGGTCTAAGCCAAGAGGCTTCTTTGGCTTGCATTAATATGGCTCCAATAATATTACAATAGGTGAAATTTGCATGTATGACTAGAGTTATAGAAGTATCATCTATTTTCTAAAAGACTGAAAGGAAATAGATGATATCTTTTTATTAACACATAATATAGGCAATTGCTAGTATGTTTTATTTATAAGTCTTTTGAGTTTTAGGTAATGAATACATATTTGTGTGCTTGGATGTAAGTTGTGGCATTATGACACACAACAAAGGTATGAATTGTAATACCAGGTCAGTGTTTTCTAAACTATGGTCCTTCACCACCTGAGTCAGAATCATCTTGGTAGGATTATGAAAAGCACATCACAGTTATGATGTATCAGCATCTCTAAGAATTCATTTGTCCTAAAGTTTAGCAACCATGTCCTAGAATATTAAATTTAGGATCAATGATTCTTGACTTGCTCATTAACAATCAGCCACAGACTTTTAAGTATTTATTGGAAAATTCGAATGCTATAATTAAAGAGAAAAAGAGGTTGCATAAAATGACTATCCTACTTCTGGAGGCAATTACATTGAAAGTCCTTATCACTTATCTCTAGGGACTTCATTATGTCCAAGGAAATAAAGGAATTTGTTGAGAAAACTTACCTCAAACACAATGATAAAAGCTAATCGGGCAGCAAGGACATGCCAGAACTGCAGTGTGTAGCCGTAGGGCACCAGTGAATGCGGAGGGTCCCGGTAGTCCCGGTACCTACAAGACACAGGAAAGGTTTCCCAGGCTTCCATTCCTACGATGTGGTCCTCGCTCATGGGAGCAAAGTTTGAAAAGGCTCTCTAGACTAGTTATCTGTTGCTCTGCTTGTCCGGCATTTCTTTTTCTGATAAAATAATCTCTCTTTTTCTCTGGGGAATCATTCTTGGGGTTGGTTAGAATTCACCCCTCCTCTGACCTCAGCTCAAAAACTATTCAGCGATACCTGATCACTATCTTCTAGAACTATTACTAATGAACTATCACGTGCCCAGAGAAGGGTAAAAAGCCTGGAACTGCTGGTGGCCACCAGAAACTGTAGGAAGGGGTTGTGTGTAGGGGGGCGGTCAGGAAAGGGGAGGGAGAGGAGAAAAAGAGAGAGAGAACCTGCTTAAGAACAAAGTCAATAGAACCAAGCAGAGCCAGTGGAGAGACAGTGTCCTGCTGAAGCTGCTCCAGTCTTGGGATCCGGGATTACTAAAGCTTGTGTCACTCCTTGACTCTCCCAGTTGCCTGAACCAAAAAATTCTTTTGGCTTGTTGGCTTATACTGGGTTTCTGCCACTTGAAACTAAAGAGTCCTTCTCAATGTGTACTTCAGCCACAACGTTTGAGTCAGATTCAAATTCCATAAATGTTTGTTGAGTGCCTACTTGGAAACTTTAATTCTTGTGATTGCATTTTTATCCTTACTCTTACCATCACAGGTGAGAAATCTGAAGTGACACACTTCAGTGTCATAGTTTCCAACCCAGTGTTCTTTTCATTAGCTTCAGAGATTTAGAATGATCTAGAAATACTGGTTATTTGAACAGTTCTGCTGTACAGATATTCCAAATTCCCTTGCCTGAATAAAAATGATTATTCAGGCTCACATCTATGATAGTACCTAACCTTAAGGTCAGCATTGATGTACATATGAGGATACAGAATAATTTCTTTTGAAGAATGACTTGGAAACATACCACTTGCTACAAAAAATAAAAGCTATCATCATTATCATCACCACAATGTCATATCATTATTAGTGTCTCTAGATATGCAATACTACATAATATGTCATGATTATTGTATCATTAGAGTGATGTTTATGATGAATGCCTGGTGTCGAAATTAAGAATGAATTTATCAGTTCCTTCAAATTGCTGGCTCTCTCTGCAGTGGTGAGGGTTAGGAGATCACATAAAACACCGCTCTAATACGTAGTTATAGAAACTATTCTTGTCATAGGCCCAATAACTATGCATGGACTTTTAGGAGGAAGAATTTTGTACAGGACTAAAAATTTGCAGGGATTGTTTTAACCTTCACTTACTTTTTGAAAAGTAGATGCTAGTCAGTAACTAAAATTTGAATTTTCTGCAATAAAGATAAAAATGTCATCTTTAGTTAGTTATATTTCAGATATAGTCCAAGTAAATATCCTAAAAGAAAAGTAGAAGTATGCTTTTTATTATATAGATGGCTGATTATTAGACAAAAGTATGTTTACAAAAGGAGGGGCCTCAAATTCTTTCCAGTGTCATCTTCATTGACTCCTTAAACTTTTTACACAACAGTGTTCACTACCACTGAGAATTCTTTTCTGGGTACCATTTTCCCTATAATAAAATTAGAGTCTGCATGGCTCACCTTACTCTAAAATCTTGGAGTCTAGCTTTGTTTGCAGGTTACAAGTGTTGTGAGTTCATACTTCAGCCTACCCTTGACCTCAGTGGTCTCTTCCAGAGGTTAAGGAAGGGGCCATGCTCAAATGCCATTTGTGCTCTGTTTCTCACTTTTTTGGTGTGTGTGCTGGGGACTGAATCCATGGACTCTATCATGCTAAGTACTTGCTTCTGTGCTTTACTACTGAGCCCTACCCTACCCTGCTTCTCTGCTTTTGTTGTGATGCTATTTATTTGCAAAGTGGGGCACTTGTACAAAGAGAACACTTCCTCTGCCTCTGTAGAACCAGCCACAAGGCCCAATTTCAATGTGAATAAAATCGCTTCTCTAACCTCTAAAGACTCTATTAGGTAGTCCCATGGCATTCGTATTTGGAGGAAGAATTTCCAAGTGACTCAGTTGTCAGAAAGTGACACTGTTAAATTCTTGGCTTCAGTTTTACATGTAGGAAGGCAGAAAATTTCCTTTTAGATTAAATTAATGTATTTCTTGAAGCTGTCTCTATTTCTCAGGCCTGTTTGACCTGCAAACATTACTTTTCCTAGTAAGGTATAGCTAGTTTATTCCCATTTTTAACTGTGAAAATAAAAAAAATAGATATAAATTTGAAAGAATGAGTGAATCTCATAGAACCCCATCCAAGACAAAACATATAAATATAGTCATTGTTTTAGAAATGCCTTGCTGGCATCCCAGGCATCCTGAGAGGTTAAGGGTATTCTAATTTTTGTGATGACCATCCTCTTGCTTTTCTTTAGTTTTCTCTGCACAGGAATTACTAAATCAGATAGTACTTAGTTTTTTTTGCTTTGGACTGTACATAAATGGCATCATATTATATGAATTTTCTGTGATTGCATCTTTAGTTGTTCTACAACATATTTTTGAGTCCTCAACTCTATTCCATTTTGTATTTATCTGTTCCTATAACAACACTACACTCATTATTTACTATGATTTTATACTATGTCTTAACTAGGACAAGTCTATCTTTAAAAGTGTCTTGACTATTCTTCATCCTTTGTGTATTATATTATTTTGACTCCCAGGTGCACAGAATTGGCCTAATCAGAATTCTTGATTTATAACTAACCTTATTGGTCCATTCATGTTCCTCTTTTAACTAATTTTATTTATCTTACACTTCCTCTGTGTTCCTGCTTCATCTCATTCCATTGCTATCCCTTTGTTGAATTTCATTTTTATCATTAATAATATTTGCATTTAATTTTGTATATGTATATACATGTGTGAATAGTATAAAGGTTTATTTTTGTTTGGTTATGAACCTTATGAAAGGTTACTATACTTCTGGGGCTTATTCTCTTCATGATCACATTTCAGGATTCATCAATGCTGGTACTTGTAGCTCGTTTATTTTTACTGCTGTACAACAGACTCTGGTGTGAATATATTATAGCTATGTTGTATAATTCATGTTTAGATTTACTCACAGGCTGGTCACTTCTATGTTTTCTTTTTTTGGTGGTACACTTGCTAGGCAAGTGCTCTACCACTGAAGCCATGCCTCCAGGCCTGTTTAACTTCAACCTGAGAGCTGATTCAGGTGCATTGCCTGCTATATGACTGAAAATAGAAGCCTAGATTTCTATTTTTCATAAATATGTATCTATATACATATTTAGATACAAAGATATGTATATAGAGATATATATAAATTTTTCCCATAATTGAAAATGTTAAATAAATCTGAAGATATTTAGCAAGGTTTTTAAAAATGCTAAGCAAAACAATCATAACTTAATGATGATAATATCAACAATTCTAATTATATCAGTAATTTGTAGAATCTACTTTTTTGCCATTATGTGGGACAAATAGAATGAATTATAAGTCAGAAAGCAAAAGATGAGGAAGGCTGTGTGTTTTATCTTTCTTTTTTAATGTCTAAAAGGTTTTGAACTCCAAATAATATTTGGCTTTTAATTTTGAACCCTTTTATAATGCTTGCTAAGTAATTTCCTGCATGAAATGGTTTGGACAGGCAAGTTGAAGCATCTATTGAAGAAAGCATCAAATATTGTTGCATGGTGCTTACTCCCCCTTCAGACTTCTGCAGGGAGCAATACCGGCCTATATCCCAGCCACTTTCTCCTCATTTTACTTGTTCATCCATGTGGAAGTTGGAAATAAGCCATGTGGTGAGACCTGGCAGCCAGTGGGACTTTGGTAAATTTGGGTATTTAGTGTACTGTCACTACATAGCAGTGGGGACCAGCTGGCTTTTCTCATGAGTTCTTGTCTTCCTGGAGCTGTGCATCCAAGGTCATTGATGGTCACGTCTCCATTGTCTATGTGGTAAGCTTGCAGAGTGCACTTGTTCTCTCAAGCCAACCAGTTTCTATTCTCAAGGATCTGGTTTCTTAAACCGGGAATAAGTGCATAAGTTTCATCCCAACATCAAATTTTTATGCCTGTGCCCATTTCTCTGAAAGAAGAACCATTATAGGTGAAGGAAAGAATGAGCAAATGCACTATTTTACATGAGTAGTTAAGAGGTTAGCATAAAAGAAGGACCATCTGGTTTTGGCTCAGAGAAAGCTGACACTTCCTATCCAGAGGTGCTATTCATCAATGCCAGAAAGATTTATGCTGGACCCTTAGTGTTAAGACTCTATCTGAAGGACACTGGTCCTTTCCAGGCCAGTGTGGCATATGGCAGAAGTGTCTTATTCATACCCTTGTGGTTTCTCTAGTAAAGAAGCTACTTGAAAGAATGCTGTGATGACAATACTGCCTACTATAGAAGGCTGACGTGATTAAAGTAGTGACAGTTTCTGAGGCATAGTAAGTCCTCAATACATTCTTCTTTACATATTACTGAATAAATACCAAGAGGCACTGTTTAATTTCCTCTTAGAGGGAGAGAGAGGGAAAATGAGCATTGCTGCTGAGGCTACTGTGGTAGAACCTGCAGCCAGCCACTTGAGGCTCTGCCCATGTACCTGAGTTGTTGAACATGTGGAAAGGTGATGTTACACAGTAAGGGCATGAGGGAGAAGTGGAACAATGACAAGTGCCCTCAGAAGCTGTCACATAAACCACCTGGAGACTATCTGTCCCTGAGTCCTTGCCCAGAATCTAACCCTTGACCTCTATATTCCTAGTGCTTCCCTTTAAGCTAGTGACCCTCAACTTTGCACCTGGGATTCTTAACCACACTGGTGTCTGCATTCCACCCCCCATACGCTGATTTAGGTTTTAAAATTCCCCAGATGATTTTAACGCATAGTCAAGGTTGAGAGCCACCGCTTTAAATGCATTGAGCCAGAAGGGGCTGTGGGAGCAAGACCTCCCATGGTAGTCTAGGGCCAGTCCAACTTTGGTAGAACCATGTGAGTTCCACACTTGCCTGCAGTACTTGAGGGGAGTCCCCGAGAACTCACTGCCATCAGACTCGGGCTCAGACCGGTTCTCAAAGTCCGAAATTCGAAACACAGACAAGCTGGCATTTACATAGCCAACCATACACCTACGAGAGAGTACAGATGCCAAAGTTATAAGTGAATCACCTCTCTGCATCCAATTCCCTGCTTCCCAAAGGCCCTGCCTTGTCACTGGATCTTTCACTGGGAGATCCAGATACTCTGGGCATGACAAATCTGGAGCGAGTTATTTCTTTTGCCCATTCTGTGTAGAATCATCACACTGCTCTAATCAGTGCTTCAGTGAAACAGAAGAAACACACCATTGCACGATGGCACCAATTATATGTAAGACACAGTGTCTTGCACTGATCACACCCACACATTAAGAGTAAGGAATTCATTCGAGTGTGATTAGTGCAAATATGATCCTCCTCGTCCGCTCACATCTATGCTGTACCCTGAATGCATTGCATGCGTTCATGCCTGTGCTGGCCCCCCAAGGTTCATGTGTTAAACCTTAGGTCCCCAGCTGGTGGCACTATTTTGGGAGGTTCTGGAAACTTTAGGAGGTGGGGCCTCGGCTGGAGGAAGTAGGTCACAGGGTATGTGTGTGGGTTCCTTGAGGGTATCTTGTCCCTGGCCCCTTCCTGTCTCTCTGCTTCCTGTTCACCATGAGGTGAGCAGCCTCTGTCACACACTCCCACTGCCATGATGTTCTGCCTCACTGTGGACTCAGAAACATAACCCCTCTGAAACCAAGAGCCAAGTTAAACTTTTCCTCCCGAAGTTGTTTTTGTCAGATATTTGGTCACAGTGATGATAAAAGTAACAAATACATGAGTGGAAACAGTACTTGTACTTCAGTGGTTGACTGCCACACCATTCCTTGCGGAAGACTTCCTTTTTCCCGTGAGAACAACTCGCCCCCTTCCTTCTCTAAGTGCCGCTGCTCTTCTCTCACAGTTACCACATAGCTTGTCCTGGTGGTGGCTGTGTATGTGTGTCTTCTCCTTTGGACTGTAGAGTTTTGGGAGCAAAGTGTCTTACGTATTTTTGTATCCTAGGACCTAGCAAAATCCTGTGCAGTGTAGGAATTCCATTGATTTGATTGGAGGGAAATTAAATACCAGAGATTCTATTGATCCTTCTCAATTGAATAGGTAATAGAATCAATCACTCCATCAACATTGCCATTCAAGAAATAGTAGCTTTTAAAAGTCCAAGCAAGTAGCACTCTTAGAAACTTCTTATACATGTGTCTTTTAAAAGTATGTTATAGCTGGGTGTGGTGGCTCATACTTGTAATCCCAGCTATTCAGGAAGTAGAGACAGGAAGATTATGGTTTGAAGCTAGCCCAGGCAAAATGTTAGTGAGAAGAAGCTTAGCATGGTGGGTCTTGCCTATAATTCCAGACACGTAGGAGTCATGGGTAGGAGGATCACAGTTGTTTTGCCTGGACCAAACAGCATGGGACACTATCTGAAAAACAACTAAGTAAAAAGATCTTGGGGAAAAACTCTACTCAGAAGCTTCTAGACATCATCAATAGCTATAGCAAGGTAGCAGGATATAAAATCAACATAGAAAAATCATTAGCATTTCTATACACTAACAATGAGCAACGGAAAAAGAATGTATGAAAACAATTCCATTTACAATAGCCTCAAAAAAAAATCAAATACCTAGGTGTAAACCTAACAAAAGATGTGAAAGACCTCTACAAGGAAAACTATTACACTTCTGAAGAAAGAATTGAGGAAGACTATAGAAAGTGGAGAGATCTCCCATGCTCATGGATTGGTAGAATCAACATAGTAAAAATGTCGATACTCCCAAAGTAATCTACATGTTTAATGCAATTCCCATCAAAATTCCAATGACATTCATTAAAGAGATTGAAAAATCTACGTGAAATTTATATGGAAACACGGAGGCACGAATAGCCAAGGCAATACTCAGTCAAAAGAACAATGCAGGAGGTATCACAATACCTGACTTCAAACTATATTACAAAGCAATAACAATAAAAACAGCATGGTACTGGCACAAAAACAGACATGAAGACCAGTGGAACAGAAAGAGGACCAGATATGAAGCCACACAACTATAACCAACTTGTCTTTGACAAAGGAGCTAAAAAATACGATGGAGAAATAGCAGCCTCTTCAACAAAAACTGCTGGGAAAACTGGTTAGCAGTCTGCAAAAAACTGAAACTAGATCCATGTATATCACCCTATACCAATATTAACTCAAAATGGATCAAGGATCTTAATATCAGACCCCAAAACTCTAAAGTTGATACAGGAAAGAGTAGGAAATACTCTGGAGTTAGTAGGTATAGGTAAGAACTTTCTCAACAAAACCCCAGCAGCACAGCAACTAAGAGATAGCATAGATAAATGGGACCTCATAAAACTAAAAAGCTTCTGTTCATCAAAAAAATGGTCTCTAAACTGAAGAACACCCACAGAGTGGGAGAAAATATTTGCCAGCTATACATCAGACAAAGGACTGATAACCAGAATATATAGGGAACTTAAAAAACTAAATTCTCCCAAAACTAATGAACCAATAAAGAAATGGGCAAGTGAACTAAACAGAACTTTCTCAAAAGAAGAAATTCAAATGGCCAAAAAACACATGAAAAAATGCTCACCATCTCTAGCAATAAAGGAAATGCAAATTAAAACCACACTAAGATTCCACCTCACCCCTGTTAGAATAGCCATCATCAGCAACACCACAACAACAGGTGTTGGCGAGGATGGGGAAAAAGGAACCCTCTTACACTGTTGGTGGAATGTAGACTAGTACAACCACTCTGGAAAAAAATTTGGAGGCTACTTAAAAAGCTGGACATTGATCTACCATTTGATCCAGCAATACCACTCTTGGGGATATACCCAAAAGACGTTACTCCAGAGGCACCTGCACATCCATGTTTATTGCGGCACTATTCACAATAGCCAAGTTATGGAAACAGCCAAGATGCCCCACACTGACGAATGGATTAAGAAAATGTGTATCTATACACAATGGAATTTTATGCAGCCATGAAGAAGAACGAAATGTTATCATTCGCTGGTAAATGGATGGAATTGGAGAACATCATTCTGAGTGAGGTTAGCCTGGCCAAAAGACCAAAAATCGTATGTTCTCCCTCATATGTGGACATTAGATCAAGGGCAAACACAACAAGGGATTGGACTTTGAGCACATGATAAAAGCGAGAGCACACAAGGGAGGGTGAGGATAGGTAAGACACCTAAAAAACTAGCTAGCATTTGTTGCCCTTAATGCAGAGAAACTAAAGCAGATACCTTAAAGCAACTGAGGCCAATAGGAAAAGGGACCAGGAACTAGAGAAAAGGTTAGATCAAAAAGAATTAACCTAGAAGGTAACACCCACGCACAGGAAATCAATGTGAGTCAATGCCCTGTATAGCTATCCTTATCTCAACCAGCAAAACCCCTTGTTCCTTCCTATTATTGCTTATACTCTCTCTACAACAAAATTAGAGATAAGGGCAAAATAGTTTCTGCTGGGTATTGAGGGGAGGGAGGGGTGGAGTGGGTGGTAAGGGAGGGGTGGGGCAGGGGGGGAGAAATGAACCAAGCCTTGTATGCACATATGAATAATAAAAGAAAAATAAAAAAAAAGAAAAAAAAAAAAAAAAGCTAGACATCGATCTACCATTTGATCCAGCAATACCACTCTTGGGGATATACCCAAAAGACTGTGACACAGGTTACTCCAGAGGCACCTGCACACCCATGTTTATTGCGGCACTATTCACAATAGCCAAGTTATGGAAACAGCCAAGATGCCCCACCACTGACGAATGGATTAAGAAAATGTGGTATCTATACACAATGGAATTTTATGCAGCCATGAAGAAGAACGAAATGTTATCATTCGCTGGTAAATGGATGGAATTGGAGAACATCATTCTGAGTGAGGTTAGCCTGGCCCAAAAGACCAAAAATCGTATGTTCTCCCTCATATGTGGACATTAGATCAAGGGCAAACACAACAATGGGATTGGACTTTGAGCACATGATAAAAGCGAGAGCACACAAGGGAGGGTGAGGATAGGTAAGACACCTAAAAAACTAGCTAGCATTTGTTGCCCTTAACGCAGAGAAACTAAAGCAGATACCTTAAAAGCAACTGAGGCCAATAGGAAAAGGGACCAGGAACTAGAGAAAAGGTTAGGTCAAAAAGAATTAACCTAGAAGGTAACACACACGCACAGGAAATCAATGTGAGTCAATGCCCTGTATAGCTATCCTTATCTCAACCAGCAAAAACCCTTGTTCCTTCCTATTATTGCTTATACTCTCTCTACAACAAAATTAGAAATAAGGGCAAAATAGTTTCTGCTGGGTATTAGGTGGGGTAGAGGGAGGCGGGTGGGTGTAAGGAGGGGGTGGGGGCAGGGGGGAGAAATGACCCAAGCCTTGTATGCACATATGAATAATAAAAGAAAAAAAAAAAGATCTTGGGGAGTGGTTAAAGTAGTAGAGCACTTGCCTAGCAAGTATGCAGGCCTTGAGTTCAAACCCTAGTGCCACCAAAATAAAGTGTTTTATAAGTATGAACATATTCATTTACTGAAATAACAATGTTTGAAACTTCATGTGCAGTTAACATTTTTTTACATTTTTCTTTAAGCAGCATTTTATATTCAGAACATTATCTTAAGACTGGACGAGGAATAACAAAATCGCCAGAGCTGGCCTTGAACCGTGATCCTCCTGTTTCTGCCTTCTGAGGAGCTGAGCCACAGCACCACACTTGGTCCCATGTAACTTCCTTATGTGACAAATGTGCCCACCTCACGGGGTCATTGTAGAGATTAAATTAAGAGATGTATGCACAGTATCTATTGTGCTTAACATCTAGCAAGATAGATGGGAGTGGTGATTATTTGTTTACTTCTTGCATCTAGCAGGAGGGCAATAAATAATTATTAAAGGAATGAATCACAGTCTTTGGTTTCTTCTTATTAGTATGTCTGATGTGAAAATCCCCAACTGCTGAATGTTAAACCAAAAGAGACAAGCACATGAGTTTTGCATGTTGTCTTGCTCAAGACAA